ATAATAAAGAGTACACCACACACATTATGGGGAGGCTCCTAATCCTTGTAAATTGCAGGAGCATGTTACAGCTGGGATTCGAAAGGGTATAAAAATGCGTGTGTGACATGGCTAAGAATAATCTCCACCAAGTGTCAGTGGTCTCCAGTGTCAAGACGGGCCGCGGGGAGGGCAGGGAAATTTGAGTTTTGTAGACGACACAAGGGGGAAAGAACAGCAAATTCTAACATTGCTGTAAACAGTTAAGATCGATGTTTTGCAAAGGGCAGTAATTAAATTTGCACTTATAAATTAAAGCCTCATGTCCTGACTATAAATAATCCACTGTTGAGTCTCCAGTTTTTTCCCTTCTTCTGCTTTTTTATTGAATGCAACCATGTCTTTTGAACACTGGGTGTCAAGCTGTGTGAGGTGCTCGGGTCCTCACCACTGTCCCGCGAGTTTTTACAGACGCAGCAGCTAAAGGTCAGAGAATTACATAACTTGCTCAGAGTCACTAGTAAGTGACCAAAATCAAATCCATCAAGACTTCAGAACTTAGGATCTTTACATTTTGCCCTCTGTCTCTCACGTTAATAACAGGTATAAAGACCACAGGTGGTGAAGACCCAGACAGTCGAGCTAAGCTGTCTTAAGTCCCAGTCCTACTGTTCTCATCGATGCAACCTGGAGCAGATTAGTCTCCCTGAGTTTCCTCACCTATAAGATGGCCAGGATCCTAGTACCTTCCTCGTGGGTTTATTGTGTGTGAAATACTGAGCTAATCCATGTAAATGACAGCATGATAAGCACTCACCAGGTTTTGGTTATCTTTATGGTCACTTACACCACCACTGCCTCCTGCCTGCTCTTAATGTGCATGAGCTTTGCAGTATCCCTGCAAGACAAGTATTAGATCCCCGTTTACACAAGGAAACTGGACTCAGAGGGGTTAAGGCTCTTGCCCAAGTCAAACCCAAGTCTGTGTAGCTCCAAAGCCTATTTGCTTTCTACCTGTATAATGACTGTCAGTTTCTTTCCTATATATGTGTATATATTTTTTAAGGCGACATCACAATGATGCCGTTGTCCGTGATGTGAGGTCAGAGTAGCCGTAGGCGCTGCCCACTGCGTAAGCAGTGGAACCGGGACTCAGCCCAGCTCTGTGTGACCACAGAGGCCAAGCCACCCTGGCCTCTCTGCCACACAGCTTAAGGGGAAACAGTAGCTTGATATTTACAGGTCTGCTAATTCCACTTAGAGGAAGCTTGAAATTGGAAATACTTGGGAGAGTTATCCTGATTTATATTTTTATTTTACAGTCTTCTTCCCCATTAGCTTCCAGAAGGCTTACAGCCTTCCTAAAAACTTTTTTTTAAGGCATTCCTGGCTAAGTCAGAAGGCATTTATAAGTTTGAGCAGAACTAACGGGGCACTTGGGGCATAGGATAAATCCCCCTTTTTGTGTTAATTTGGAAAGTCTCTGTGACAGGAGTGGGTTGTCCCAGTCACGTGGTAGAGCTCGCTCAGCCCATTGCTCAGTGGTTACGCGAGCTCTCGCATCCATCGTCCAGTGGGGAGACTTGTGCTTTGATTCTTCTCAACAGAACGAAGGAAACTTCATGGGGTTCTCTTGAAGTCAGCCCTTCCAAACGCAACCAGATTGGAATAGCCAACAAAATTGTGAGTCATTCAGATTCTCATCGGAATTCCAACTCACACTTTGAGTACCGAGGCCAACTCTCGGCCCGCTAGACGGTGGCCTGAGAGTGAGCAGCCTTTAAACAGCTCACACGTGTTCACGGATCAGAGTTAAATGGACAGCGGTCATTGGGGAGTGACGGCCCAGATGCCTTAATGAAAGCTTGTATCCTCTGCTCTGACTCGGGCTGGTTTGCGGAGACGCCCGTGCACCTTGGAAAACCACGTTCTGCATCGGGCTGTGAGTGTAGCTGGTCCTGAGGACAGCCCTCTCAGAGTTCTTTGGAAGCCTGGGCCCGGCTCGCACTGAGACCCAGAGAGCTGGCCTTCAGGACTGTAGATCCAGCCTGTGGCCAGAATCTGCATTGCCTGGAACTGATTCTGTTGTTTTTGAATAGCTTTCCTTTTTGAGAAAACAGCCACTGAGCAGAATGTAATTCTCTCCCATGTGTTCCCCTGTCTCTTCCTGTTGGGCTGGGGATAAGCTGTGTTTTGGATGCAATTTTTCACGCATCTGTCTCACTCCATGCTCCTTCCTCACAACTCACTCTTCTTTGTTTCTCCAGCATTTACTCCAGGTTTCAGGAGGGAGTAAATGCGCACACTTTGGGTGACAGTTGAAATTAAAATGCATCTGCGTTATCTTTGTTCCCATTGTGGTTGAGCAAGGATCTCATTCTCAGCAGCTTGTTAGGAGAGACCAAATTTGGAGGCCAGACATAAGGGGTGGGGGCCGATGGCTGTGTCTGAATTCATTTTCAGATGTTTTTTAGCTCAGGATTGCTGAACGTGCTGTACTTGAGGCCAGAGGCAGAAGGGTGCTAAGAGACATCATTATTGGTTGAAATCCATACTTGAGGGTTTAGGGGACTGGCTTCTGTATGTGAACACTGGGCTGGGGAAGGTCAGCTGACTGCATAAGGACTGCTGCGGGGGTGGGGAGTGTAGGTGTTGGAAACTGCAGCCCTCCGGGTCCAGTCCCAGCCCTTCTCTTGCTGAGCTGTGTGGCATCAGGAAGTCTCCTTGTGGAATGGTCAACCTGCTCACTATGCTGTTGACTTCTGGCCTAGAGATAAGTCATGTAAAGTACGTTGCACAGTGCCTGGCAGGTGCAAACACTCACACGTAAGAGGAAGCGCCAGTGATAATGGTGCTTGTCCCCTAGGCTTCGTCTATCACTCAGCATTGTTTAGGGGAGAGGAAAGGGGGAGAAAGCTTTTTAGAGGCTGTGGTCCTTGAGCTCAGCGACAACCACAGTTTCTCTTTTCTCCCCTGGAAGCTACTCTGAAGGAGCCTGGAGACACACGTCCCACTGGTACTTATTTTTAAGGATTCCAACTCTTCTGGAAGCCAGGAGGTTCTTGTTGTTTTTGTTTTAAGTCCCCTTCTCTCCTTACCTCCTCGCCCCAATTGAACTCAGCTATGTAGTGATTCAGTTTATTTTGTTGAAAATTCAGTCCCCTAGGGAACATATGATAATGCTGTGTTCTGACAGCTGTGTTTGGGAGCGAGACTGACTGAACCAGCTGGCTGGCATCATTGGAGCCCAAGGACCTGCCAACTCATGGAGAGCAGCTGTTTGGGCTGAAATTCTTATCATTCTTATGACTTTGCTTCCTATATCTCAGCTTCTGAGTTCTGCTTTTAAATGCACGCACCAAGGAGAGAGGGCCGTGAGAAAGACTCTCATGTCTCTAAGGCCACCCACAGGTGAAGGGAGTCCGGGTGCCACCCCTGTCCCCTCATTGCTCATGATTGTTGGGGAAGGAAAATCCAGAAGAAGGATCTTTCCGAAGAGAATAAGAGAGGATAACGAGTGGATCAGTAAATATTGGTATCTTACTGCAGTGGGGGTGTTATGCAACCCAGAAGGATCATGTGTACAATTTTTGTAATGAAGGGGGAAATGTTACAATATAATGTTAGATGAAACATAGGGGAAGCAAAACCTTATAAAGAGTAGAGTCCCAATTATGGGGAAGTGTGTTTCAACATTAAATGAGATCAATCCTGCTTGACTCAGTGCCCGACATGGGAGATATTCAGCAAGTCACAGCGACTGGATACAAACTCTCCAACCACAGGAAACATGTTTGCCTCAAGCGCTGCTATTCCCAGAAAGCCTGCTATCAAGGGGATGCTCAAAAGATCTTTCTTGATTGAGTGAATTAGTGTTGTTTCATTATACGCATTTAAAAAGCAATCCAGAAAATCTAGGGACACAGGTTTCTATGTTATCATCTGTAATTATATCTGTAATTGTGGTGGCTTAACCCCTCTGCCTCCGTCCTTCATTATCAATGGTGAGGACAGTACCTGACGCTGAAGGTCACGCATAACTGAGTGAGCTCCGTGTAAAACACATGCAGTGACTGTCCCCTAGGGAGCCGACATTGAATGGTGGCAGCTGTATTCATGATAAGCACTGTGTAAGTGGTGGCTGTTATAATAATCCTGCCATACTTGTGTCTATAGGGAAAAAGACGAGAGTTGTCACGATTTTTACCTGTCATTTTCTTCTCATTTTTTTAACCGTAGACTTTTTTTTTTTTAGCAATAAATGCTTAAAAGAAAAAAACTCAGTCGAAAATAAAACACAAATGCCAACAATGGTTATCTCTAAATAATGGAATTGGGAGATTTTTATTTTCTGTTTTCTCCTGGATGCTTTTCTAAATTTTCCAGACTGTTTGTAGTGTTTATGCTACTTCTGTCATCAGGAGTTGGGGAAACAATTTTTTCCCTTCCTTTTAAATAAGAAAAGAATGCTCAGCATCAAAGATAACAGAAAACTGCAGCCCGAGAAAGGATGCTTCCCTCTGAGGACTAGAAAACAGTCCCCTGTTCTGGGCTTCGTTTTTGGAGTATGATTTAAAGGCATGTGTCACGTCCTAAGAAAGCCGTGATGCTGTTGTTAAGAACTGGGACATAGAAGCCACGAGGAAGGGTAAAGTGATTTGGATTAATTGGTTCTAGACAAAGGTGACCAAAATATTTTAAGTCCACCTCCCAGTCAGTGACTTATATTTAGCACAGCTGCTTTCCATTCCCTGGGAGAGAACAACAAGAAGAGGATGAGTGGAAATGAGCGCAGAAGGGCTGAGAAGTGGAAGTGGATGGTTACCGAGCCCTGGAGTCTGCTTCTGAAGGAGAGTGTTTCAGGCCAGTCCCTGGGGATGCTGGCAGTCCCCACGAGCAGGTGCTGGTGGTCTTTTTAGGTCTTTCTCCTTGATTCTCAGACACGCCCAAGCTTCTCAGTTGTGCTGATTCTCCCCTGTTCGTGGTAACATGTAACCTTTTTATGAAACTTGGCTTTGCAGATATTTAACACTGTGCCGGACGCCCCCCTCACCAACGCCCAGCTGCACCTGTCTCGGAAGAAGAGCAGTGACTCCAAGCCCCCGTCCTGCAGCGAGAGGCCCCTGACGCTCTTCCACACCGTGCAGTCGACAGAGAAACGTGAGTCCCACCGCCCAGGGCCCGAGTGGTGCCCAGGGGACACCCTGCTACCCACCGGCTGCTCGGGACGCTCACCTCTGGCCTCACTCTGTGCGCTGCTGCCTTTGGTGCCCTTGAGGGCAGTGTATCAGACCGCATGCCCTCCCGGGTTCTGCGGCTGAGTCCCCTTGATGGGACAGGAAGCAGGGTGGCTGAGGATGAAAGGCCAGGGCGGTGCACCGCCAGGCCCCCTTTCCAGAGCTCCTGTGGGCCAGCTGCTGGGCCTCTCCTCCGCCTGCTCAGCTCAGGCGTCATGCCTTTGGCCCCTCTTTTGTTAGCGGCTCCCATAGAACCAGTTTCCTACCCTTTCCTCAAGTTGTAATTAAATACTTACCAGTGCGAGTCCCAGGCCCCATGGGAACGAGGCTCTGTGTGCGCCGGGCCTTGGTTTGCTTGCTCATCCTTCTCCCCTGCCTCTCCCGGGGCCTGGCGTGCAGCGGACACTTAACAAACTGGTGGAATTAATTCAGGGATGAATTGTAGACCACCATGCTCCTTGTTCCATGTAACGGAGTGTTACCACCGCGACTGTCTCAAATCTTATCCTTAGCTCCAGATTTCTGAGTTCTTTGCGGTGAGCAGGTTGCCAGGCCCTAAAACATCCAGTCTCCTTTCAGCTTTGGTGATTAGCGAGTCCAGCAGAGCAGGGCGGGAGGGGAGGGCCCCAGCTCTGCCCGAAGTCGGTGAGACCCAGGCTCCTGTGCTGGTGGCCACACGCGGGCCAGCCACCTACCTTCTCTCAGCCTCAACTTGCTCATCTGTAAAGTGGGGATAGTAGCTCCCACCTCAGAGGGAAGTGGGGAGGATTTCCTGAGGCCATGTGGTTGGGCAGCTGGCACGGGCCTGGGCATGGCAAGGGCTGTCGCCTGAGAGCGACTGTTCTATTAGTTATTGTCTGATCACACAGCGATGTCCAGGAATGTGCAAATGCCACTCTGTCTTTAAGGAGCTCACCACTGAGCGAGCACAGCAGGCAATTGACTAGGTGATGGGATGTCAGCACTGTAAGTGCTCTGGCAGAGATGTGAGCTGTGTGCGTTCAGGGAGGCGGGAGATCACAGTGGCTGAAAGCACTCACAGGCCCCAGGTGCCTGGGCAAGGGTCCTCTGCTGCTCTCTGGCTGTGTGAAGTGGGCAAGTCGCCTACGTGCTTCTCAGGGCCTCAGTCTCCTCTTCTGGAAAATGGAGATAACAATTTCTACCTCTACCAGTATGTTTGTTGTGAGGATTCACCACTTCAGATGGTGCTCAGTAAATGCTGGGGGAGGGAGGTGTTACCACTGTTACGTGTAATTATCACATATCTTTATTTACTTATCTATTTATGGCATGTAATACATAAAATACATTTTATTTTTATGTATTTATAGAAATATATATTTATTATATATAATAATTATATTCTCTATGAGTTACAGTAAAGGCACACATCAGAATAAAGACCCACTCTGCCTTGATGAGGAGAGCGAGTCTGTATCTGCATTGGCATCTTCCTCCTTCTTTGTTACAGAAAATGTTTTGTATCTCCTTGTATTTCAGAAGTAATGGCCTTCCTTATCCTTACTTCTGAAAACAAATCTTCCCCACCCTTTTAAAGAGGTCACTATATCCCATAACATGACTGACCCTTGGTGCAACCGTTTGGGTCATTTCAGATATGGTGTTTTTATGAGTAAAGTCACTGTTACCATTCTCGTAGCTAAATCTGTTCATATTCATGATCATCTCCTTAAGACAAATTCCTGGAAGAATTTCTGGGTCAACGGATATACACAATTTCAGGGCTCTGACCCTGTACTGGGACTGGCTTCCTTTCAAACGATAGCTTACATTCCTCTTCCGTGTCTGGCTTGGGCCGTTCTCACTGTGGTCTGCACCACGGAGCACTTGGAACAGGCCCGGCCTCACCCACAGCTGCCACCAACACAACACCAGGCTGCGGGGTTCTGCGGTTTCCAGGAGAGCCACGGTCACCGACCGTTTTGTACTAAGCCTTGTACAGTGCAGACCAGGACAGATCAGACGGTATTGGTGAGCTCCCCTAGGCTTGACATAGTGCCAAGTTCGTGTTTAGGTTGAAGCAGAAGCGGCTTTGGAACGGATCTGAAAGCACACACTGGGAGCGTGTAAGAAAGAAGATGGAGGTTAGGGGAAAAGCAATTAGATCTTTGCCCGAGATTAACTTTATCACACGAGGCAGCGGGTGAAAGTTAAGCATGTGTGAAAGCAGACGTGCCTGAGCTGCAGGCCACGCTGTCCCTGCCGGCAGACGCTGGACGGAAGGCTGGGAGGCGGGAGGACAGTGAAGCAGCGTATCTTCCCTCCGAACGCGAGGAAACGTCCCTGGAAGCGGGGCTGGAGTCTCCCTGTGCACAAGTATTTGTAGGGTGCTTAGCTTTCCTCCCTTCCTCAGGAAGAAGCATTTTCATTCAGCAGTACATAGTGTATGTACATAGACTTCGTAAGAGTTTATGTTGCAAGCCCTCTTTTTTTCCTGGGAAATTAGAATGATACCCAAGCTGGCCTGGAAAGCACCATAGAAGGGATGGGTGAGTGGATGCCGTGAGGAGGACCGGCCAGCAGCTGGAAGCTTCTGCCAGCACTGGCCTCTGCTAGGTTGCAAGGCAGCCACTGCTTCTGTGGCAGGAACGGGTGACACTGTGTTTCCCCCACTTAACCCTCCCCTTTGTCTAGTCTGTGGACCAAGATAGAAGACTTCTTTATCAAAGCAGTAAGCTGAGTTTACTCGTTGGAATTAAAGTATAAGTAAAGCTTCTACAGGTAATTTGTGGGGGGAAAGAAAATGGTGTATTTCCATAGAATGATGTCTCTCAGATCAAGGCCTCTTTCCATACCTAGCTCAGTACTTCCCAAGCTTGAATCATTTACGTAACAAGTCTTCATTCAGTCTTGGGGCCACAACCACGAAACTCATGCACTGTTGTTTGTTTAATGTATTTCTGGAAATCAGCTCACGTAAAAGCAGCTCACTTCTTTCCACGGCCTCATCCTATTCAGTAAAATTTTTAAAACGTGAGTTTTATTGTCTCATCGTATTATTCTCTCATATGCATTAAAATAAATACGTAACTGTTAAGATAAAGAATAATCATCCATGTCTGACCATAGAATTGTCGCATGTCCCACCTGTGGAACGTGCACCACAGCTTGGAGTCCGCAGAGCTTGCTCAACATTTTTGACTGGCTCAGATCCTTCCTCTTAACATAAATAATGCAGACTCAAGATTCTTTTGTCCCCTCAACTGGAACTGGGTTCAGATGTTGCCCGTTGGCTGTTTATATCACTGCGGACACCATTCATCTGTCAGTTTCACTTTGTGCACTTTGGGTTTATTGTGACACCCGTCCAGGTTGGATATGACCTTACCTTTCCAGGTTCTTGCCACAGAGTAGATATATCCTTACAGGAATTGCACCTGTGAGGAAACACACACACACACACACAAATGCACCTACACAATATCTCCACGTGCCTCTCTTCTGCCTTCATACTTCATATGATATTGTTCAGAACCTCATTTCCTTTGAGGTCTGTGCACCTGCCCTTTTCTGAGTTCGGTTAGTTTTTTCTCCTCATTGGTGTATTTGCAGTTGAGTATCTTCTCTGTGGTCCCTGGCTTGGCCCTGTCCTCAGTCCCTCGTCAACGTGCCTAATGGGCCCACGACTCCCGGAGGAGCTCACTCGGCTGCTTCCCGTGGGCACACCTTTGCCTCCCACCTCCCTGCGGGGCCCCTGCCCCGTGCACAAGTTGGAGCCCATTCTTTTCTCTTGGACGTGAATCCGTGCCAGCACCCTGGCCTCAAGGTGATGGAGGTATCGGGTGTGTTCGCTGGTTCTCGTAGACGTACGTCTGATTTTCTTGAAGGAGTTTTCCCTTCTGTGTAGGTAGACCAGTTGTGTGCCCAGGCGCCTCCAGGAGACTCCTCTGCTTTAATCTGAGAGTAGGAGTGGAGCCTTCTCCAGAGGGCTTTTCGCTTTTCCTTAAAGGTCAGGCTGACCTTACGATGACAGTGGTCTCTTCCCAGAATGCAGTGTGGCTGCTTTCTCCTGCTGTGCTGGGTGGGGACTTGGGTGGGTTACCAGGCAGCATGTGGGGCCCCATAGGTCGTATGCAGTGAAGTGGGGCAAAGAGTGGAGATGGAAACACTGCGGAAAAGAACAAAGGAAACGATGGGGCAAGGCAGGGCTTAGGAAGTGTCGTAGCAACAAGTGCAAAGATGTAAGTCATTTGGAAATCACTGCTTATTTTTGTGAGGAGGGAACTAAATATCCAGGTTGTCTCAGCTGGCCAAGGAATTTTTTACGAGAAGGGTAATTTTGGGAAAGATGTTGAAGGAAATGAGAGTCACGGTCTTTCCAAAAGGATGGAAAGATAGTCTGGGATGCTTCGCAGGAGCGTAGAAGAGCCTTCTGTAAGTAGCTGAGGGCAGCTCTTGTGTCCAGACCTGGGGAAAAGACTGTGGGAAGATGTGATCCCAGATGGAACTTGAAAAACATCTTCCCATAGCCATTGACTTTTTGCCTATGTATGATTAACACATCCAGCAACATAATTTACCAAGTGGTTCCTGTGTTAAGCCCTGGGCAGAGCAACATCTCATTTAATCTTTACACTTGAATAACACAGGTACTGTCTGTATTTTACACTTGGAGGAAAATAAAATTTACATGAAATGATGCACTGAAGTTCACACAGCAACAGAGGGACAGATTTGAACCCCAGGGCTTCTGAGCTCACAGCCACACTGTTCGCCAGCCATGAGTCTGCCTCCCAGGCTCTACCTGTGGGACAGTTCTAGAGGAGATGTGCTTCTTTGAGGGTTGGCTTTTATGACCTAGCTTGCAAACCCAACCTTATTTGCAAAGGACAGTGTTTCCAGTTCCACTTGTGTGCCTGGAGCTTAAACTTCTGTTGAGCCAGGGATCTGCCTGTAAGGGCG